GAGTAAGTTTCTGATACGCCAATTATAATGAGGTTGATTTTGCAGTGAAAAATCAAAAATTATATATGGATTAAGGCCCGCAAATACACAACTGAATTATATACTTACCCCTTATTACACCTGCTCAACTTTTTGCAAAGACCTTGAATTGATATAAATTGACTTGGTTATAAGATCCAATTTAATCCTGAAATTTAAGCAATACCTGTTATGCCAGCTATATCAAAATTTTAATTGATTGGATCGTCTTTACTATGTAGAAACCGCCTTGGTACTAAAATAGATTTTACATGAACATAAAATGACGTTTGAAGAACGTCTATTTTACATTAGACATAAGCGTAAGCTTATATTTATAAGCATATAAGGTTTTGTCAAACATACTATGTGTAAGATTGAAGTCAATTGTCAACCAACTGATTGGACCTTATCACCTATTGGACACCACCTATTTGTTCATTTCAAAGTTGTTTTTGACACTACGTCTAGAAGCACTCTCTATGCCGCTATGTCTGAATTTGGTATACCAGTAAAATTTATACGGCTATGTAAAATGACGTTGAGCAACATCGTCAGCTCCGTTAGAATTGGGAAGAACCACTCCGAACTGTTTGATACCAAACGAGGTTTCAGACAGGGTGACTCCTTGTCGTGTGACTACTTTAACCTAATGTTGGAAACGATAATTCAAGCAGCAGATTTAAACCGTACTGACACAATATTCTACAAAAGTGTAATGCTGCTTCCATATGCGGCAAACAAAGTACTTTCTGTCAACAAAGAAATCTCCTGAGCTTCTTGGGACCCACGTCACTATTGACAATTTTAAGTTCGAAGTTGTGAAAGATTTCGGTTATTTAGGAACTTGCTTAAATACCAATTATGACGTCAGCCTAGAGATTCAAAGAACAATCACTCTTGCCAACAGATGTTACTTCAGGCTAAGTAAGCAATAAAGCCCTCTCTCGACAAACAAAAATCACGCTCTATAAATCTCTTATCATGCCTGTCCTGTTGTATGGTGCAGAAGCTTGGACAACTACCAACAGTGATGAGAAGGCGTTAGGAGCATTCGAGAGAAAAATTCTTCAGAAGATCTATGGTCCCTAACGCATTGGCGACGAATATCGAATTAGATGGAACGATGAGCTGTATGAGATAGACCGCGACATTGACATAAAAATTCAGCGATTTCGCTGTCTTGATCATGTCGTGTGAATGGAAGAAAATGCTCCGACTAGAAAGTTGTTTGATACATTTTCCCGCATGTGGAAAACGCGGTAAAGGACGTCCGCATCTTCGGTGGAAGGACCAGGAGACCAACGATTTGGGGGCGCTGAGTACGCCCAACTGGCGACAGCAAGCAACTGATCGGGCTAACTGGCGGAGGCTATACTTGAACCCCATTCATCATTCATGATTTCAGGATCCACATGTCAATTTCGACAACCAAATATTGTTCACTACTCCTAAAAGCAAATGTACCAGAAGATGTTGACAGGCTATTACAATAACGATAACAATTACATCAAGATGCACATGCACGGTGTTTCGATTAGTTCGAATAATGTTTGAGACTATATGACTAACCCAATGCATATATACAGTATCTAAGTGTATGAGCAAAGTACAATTAATATTTTTGCAGTTTTTATTGATTAAATTATTTATGATAATATTTATGATATTTACTTTGCACTGTGTTATCGACAATATAACACAGTCTATTCCACAATCCACACGTTAATGCCTTACCTGATGGTTATGAGCATTAAACCGATGGTCCATAAACAAAATTGCTATTTCCAAAATTATCAAAGCATAAGTTAAAACCGTTGCAGCAAGATTTATATTGGAACTGGAATAGTTAAAATTATTAATTTATGTCTATTTAGATTAATTGCTGCAATTATTACAATTAACTATTCAAATAAATTTCTGTTCTAAAATAAAATATTAAGCTCTGTATTACTCCTTAAATGGCAAATCAATGCAATCAATGAAGTTGAGATTCATTTATTAATGTTAAAATAAAACTAACAATGAAAATCATTGGAAAATAATGCATATTATGAAAACAAAAGATAGGCGAGTAAATTTGCTGATATTTTCTATAAATACAGAGAAAAACTAATACGGAAAGTGCAACAGAAGTTTAATGCTAACATCTAGATTTATTGCTGTGTTCCATATTGTAGCTGACACCATTGGGAAATCTTATCAGTTTGTTTATTTGGCACTACAGTCCAGTATGAACCTTGGCCTTCCTAAAGGTTGCGTAGCGGTAAAATTTTTCCGATGCAAGGTTGCTGGCCTTGCGACCAACCTCTAACTTAGAGCGCCAGATCTCCTTATTTGCTAACCCGGAGATAGGATTAGTGTTAAGTAGTTAGAAAATTTCCGCTCAACTATATGTTTTCAGGTTATACCACCTGTACTCGGTCACCAGAGTCTCGTATGTAGAAAGCGCCATAATGTATATTTAACCAATATATATGTGGTTCTGAAGACTGGTGTTTCATATAAATATATTCTATGGAAAGCAGAGTAGGGTAAAGTCTAACTAAGATATATGTGATCCTGAACTACGATATATGTATGCAGTAAAAATATTTACTTTATATTTATTAAATATTTATTTTTATTTAATATTAATTTATATTTACTAAAATGAAAGCGGATATGGTCCTAAAAATTTGTGTACCTTAAATATATTTTCTATGTATGATTTAAGTTTACTCAAAATATATGGATTCCTGATAATTAGCGTCCCGTAAAAATATTTTCTATTGAAAGTGTTATCGGGTAAGTTTAACCAAGATGGTTGTGATCCTGAAGACTACTATTCCGTAAAAAGATTTTACATAAGAAGTGCAATAAGGCGAACCTACCAAGATATTAGTGATTCTTAGACCAGTGTTGTCTTAAAAGATTTTCTATTTTTGAAACGCATTGGATGGGTTTTGTAAATTAAATTTATGGTTGTTGAAAGTATAATGGATTCACATTATTGTCACAATAATTCTCAAAGGATGCAGTGACGTGGCGACTTGGTTTCCAGCCCTTTCAAAAACTAACCTAAAAAATAATGGATAATTCTAATAGACCTTTGAAAACAAGTTTTCGTTGTATCGTTCTTCGGTAAGAACTGGTAAGCATATTTACCTATACTAAATTATAATGCATTTATTACAAAAAAAAAAACATTCGCCATAACTCAAATACTTAGATATTACACAGGAAACTGATAATAAAAGTAAAATTATTAACTTTATCAAAAACATAGTAAAATTATTGATAACTATATATTAGAAATTACTGGTGAGTAATCTTGAATCGATTATTCAATAATTTGTAGTAATAATAATGCAGCGGTAAGAGTAAGATTCTGATACGCCAATTATAATGAGGTTTAGGTACGCCAATTATATATATGGATTTAGGCCCGCAAATACACAACTGAATTACATACTTACCCCTTATTACACCTGCTCAACTTTTTGCAAAGACCTTGAATTGATATAAATTGACTTGGTTATAAGATCCAATTTAATCCTGAAATTTAAGCAATACCTGTTATGCCAGCTATATCAAAATTTTAATTGATTGGATCGTCTTTACTATGTAGAAACCGCCTTGGTACTAAAATAGATTTTACATGAACATAAAATGACGTTTGAAGAACGTCTATTTTACATTAGACATAAGCGTAAGCTTATATTTATAAGCATATAAGGTTTTGTCAAACATACTATGCGTAAGATTGAAGTCAATTGTCAACCAACTGATTGGACCTTATCACCTATTGGACACCACCTATTTGTTCATTTCAAAGTTGTTTTTGTCACTACGTCTAGAAGCACTCTCTATGCCGCTATGTCTGAATTTGGTATACCAGTAAAATTTATACGGCTATGTAAAATGACGTTGAGCAACATCGCCAGCTCCGTTAGAATTGGGAAGAACCACTCCGAACTGTTTGATACCAAACGAGGTTTCAGACAGGGTGACTCCTTGTCGTGTGACTACTTTAACCTAATGTTGGAAACGATAATTCGAGCAGCAGATTTAAACCGTACTGGCACAATATTCTACAAAAGTGTAATGCTGCTTCCATATGCGGCAAACAAAGTACTTTCTGTCAACAAAGAAATCTCCTGAGCGTCTTGGGACCCACGTCACTATTGACAATTTTAAGTTCGAAGTTGTGAAAGATTTCGTTTATTTAGGAACTTGCTTAAATACCAATTATGACGTCAGCCTAGAGATTCAAAGAACAATCACTCTTGCCAACAGATGTTACTTCAGGCTAAGTAAGCAATAAAGCCCTCTCTCGACAAACAAAAATCACGCTCTATAAATATCTTATCATGCCTGTCCTGTTGTATGGTGCAGAAGCTTGGACAACTACCAACAGTGATGAGAAGGCGTTAGGAGCATTCGAGAGAAAAATTCTTCAGAAGATCTATGGTCCCTAACGCATTGGCGACGAATATCGAATTAGATGGAACGATGAGCTGTATGAGATAGACCGCGACATTGACATAAAAATTCAGCGATTTCGCTTTCTTGATCATGTCGTGTGAATGGAAGAAAATGCTCCAACTAGAAAGTTGCTTGATACTTTTTCCCGCATGTGGAAAACGCGGTAAAGGACGTCCGCATCTTCGGTGGAAGGACCAGGAGACCAACGATTTGGGGGCGCTGAGTACGCCCAACTGGCGACAGCAAGCAACTGATCGGGCTAACTGGCGGAGGCTATACTTGAACCTCATTCATCATTCATGGTTTCAGGATCCACATGTCAATTTCGACAACCAAATATCGTACACTACTCCTAAAAGCAAATGCACCAGAAGATTTTGACATGCTACTACGACAACATCAAGATGCACGGTGTTTCGATTAGTTCGAATAATGTTTGAGACTATATGACTAACCCAATGCATATATACAATATCTAAGTGTATGAGCAAAGTACAATTAATATTTTTGCAGTTTTTATTGATTAAATTATTTATGATAATATTTATGATATTTACTTTGCACTGTATTATCGACAATATATTATTTAGCCAATACGTAATTAAAAAAAATTATTTTGGCTGTTGCAAACTATATGAAAACTAATATTATAAAGGATATAATTATCAAATGTAAGAATACATCATATATCATATAAAAATGAATTCACTTGACTGAAATAATGAAACTTATTGGATGCAACATACATATATATATGTAGGTATATAACATATATGTGAATTCATTTGCAAATTGAAAATTTTTTTAAAACTTAAATAACGTATGAAAGTACTTGTGGAAGTAAAATTCAGACTTCCTTTTTGCTCGATGTGGGACTGAGTTTAAGTATCATATTTCCGTTCTGTACAAAAACTTTTCCTGCTTTCATCATTGCAGCGGCTTCCGACTTTGATACTACCATTTGTCTAACTTTTTTACCATTGGGCAAAATTTTTTCGGTAAATGGTTTTTGATTTGTTTTCGGAGAGCTCGCAGCATTTTTATCAGTTTGTGGACTACTCCCAGTACTTGTCTTTGCTTCTACAAGTGCTTGTTGAGTTGGGGAATTAGAATTCTTATTAGTTGCCGGCATACTCTTTGGTGATGCATTAGCACGTGTGTTTGGAGAAGTTTTAACTAATTTCGATACTTGTTTTGTTTCAGTGAATTTTGACTTTGCTGGAGATGATGTCTTTTCAGCACCTTTTGGTGATGTCACAACCTTTGGCACTGCAGTAGCAACTGGACTAACTTCACTACCTCCAGCTTTACGTATAGTTATGCCTTTTGGTAAAACTTTTAGAACCGAAGTTAAGGTAGTTTGTTTCAACTTAGGAGACGCATTTCCTGAGTTCACAGTTTCTTGCTGGGTAATAGCTGCAGCCGTTTTAGGATTTCTTTGTCTTACCACCTTCGAAGTTACTGGAATTTTTTTATCAGTAACTTTTGGTTGTTTTCTCGGTGGTTCGATTGGTGGGTCGTCTGAGTCTATATACTGAAACTCTTCACAATTTGTTATAGATTTAGTATTGCGAATTTCATTGGCTCCTCGTTTCTTACTTTGTCCTGGTTGTATAACAATTTGACTGACTATTTTTGGTTGATCGTTTAATACTAAAAAACAAAAAAATAAAAAACTTTAAATTTATAAATTAGCGTGTTGTCGAACATTAAGTTACCTTCCGTTTCTTCTGGTTCCACTTTTATTATATTTTGTTGTTCATTTGAACTACATTCCAAAGGAAACTCGTCAATGATATATTCAACTGCTTCTTGAAACTCTGGATTGCTATCCTCCTTTTCGCTGCCGCTATTTTCCGTACTTTTATTATCACTTTTTGGATCGTCATTATAAGCCTGCATGTCTTCCGCATGATGCTCGAGCACATGAGCATCCAGAGTACTATTAAGGCTAAATTGTAAGTCACAGAAAACGCACGCATATGTTGGATTGTCGGCGTGTTGTTTTATATGTAATGAAACCTCCTCACTAGTAGCGAAAGTTTCCTCACAAAGTGAGCATGTTAGGTTTTTAATTGCGTGAACAGCGGAATGATATATGAGTAATTCTCTCTTCTTGAAAGCTTTATTACAGATGGGACATACATAGTTTTCTTGTTTATGAGAGCGTAAGTGACGAGTCAAATGGTGTGAAAGTAAGTACGATTTTGAACAGAATTTACAAGGATATGGACGTGATCCAGCATGTGCAGTCAAGTGACGAGCCAACTTACTGGGTGTTGAAAAACTCTGATCGCAGTATTGGCAAGGATTCGGCTGTACTCTCGAATGTATGACCTAAAACACACATATAAATATAAAAAAATTTGTTATAATAAAAAATTATTTAAAAAAAAAATTGTAAACAAACCTCATGGCGTTCTTTGCCTTGCTTAAATGCGAATCCCTTATTACAAATCTTACATTTGAATGGTCTATTTTTAAGGTGACGTTCGGTATGTTTTTCCAATTCCTCCTTTGAGAGAAACGGTCTCTCGCAATGTACACATAAATGCTTAGGTACATCAGTGTGGCTTTTCTCATGGCGATATAGTAAAGTAGCACGTGTGAACGCTTTATCACATATTGTGCATTTAAAAGGACGATATCCGGTGTGAATAACACTATGTTTCTGCAAGTCATACTTCGAGAAGAATGATTTATCGCAATCAGGACATTGAAAACAGCGTTCGCGAACATGATTGGCCATATGAATATCACGCAATTGTCGTAGCGGAAATGAGCGTTCACACTCTGGACATGGAAACACATTTGTTTTCACTGGTCGCGCTTGTTTGATAAGTTCATCTTCTGGTTCATAGTTTTCGCTTGGTACTAGTATTTCTGTAACAATAGCAACGTTACCATCTTCATCACGTGTTACCTGTGGCCTGCTTAATAGCGGCTCAATATCGATTTCTACATCCTTATTCAAAATGCGTATAGAGGACTTATTTAAAAGTTTTGGTTTACCCGTTGGTTTAGGGGTTTCTTCAGCAAAACCATCCGAATCAATAAAACGCTGTACATCATCTATTGAGAGTTCATCATTATTTTCTATTTTGTTCATTATGCTTAAAGCGTCAAACTCAAGTTTTTCTTTTTTTATGCGTATCGGTACCGGCGGTTCAGGAGAATCTGCGGGATCTGCATTCAGCAATTTCTTTACGACAATTTTCGTTTGTTCATCTTTATTGTTTTCCGAATTTTTATTAGTACGATTTATTTGCATTGGTTTCTGGTTCAAAATAGTCTTGCTTTCCTTGTTGGATGTAGATTTTGTTACAGTTTGTAGATCTGGTGGAGTTGGTTTTTGTAATGGTTTCGGCCATTTACCAGTGAGTGGATACTGCCGTAGTAGAGTTTCTGCACGTTTACACATTTGCTTAAAGGAATAGCTGTACTCAAACATCAAGCGACAATCACTACAAACTTTGGTCGGCATACCGTCATCACTGAAAACCTACAGAAATTCGAAATATATGTTAGTGTTATCATAATTACATTTTAACTTTTCTAAATCAATAATATTTTTGTCTTTAATTTTTGTAAATTAATCATTCATACATCAATGGAGCATGTCTATATAATATAGCATGTCAATAGGATCGACCAATCTTAGAGTATGTAATAATTGCAATCCAGGTTTTTTAGAAAAATCGCATTCAAAATTTTGGTAAGAGGTCGTAACAATACTTAAATTTGCAAAACAAGCAAAAACTATTTACTGACCACACATATAATCAGGAAGACTTCGGGAATGTGCATTCTATAAGTGGAATTTTGGTTTTAAGTATGAATCCATTTTAGTGTTAGGAGAAGTCACGTTTTCCAAATCATATGTTTAATTTCTTCTTTCTTATGTTGCTTCTTTGTGCAAAGGCAGTCACTGCATATGGCCTCTTACTTGCAACCGCTTGATCAGAGTTCCTGAATAACACTGATGAAGACCGTGAATTGATGTAAAAGTAAAGTACAAGTAAAGTAAATAATATTATTTCCAATTCTACTCTTAACGAATAAATTCAGCTTGGCAATGAAATTTGTATAGCAAGCTTTTCTACAGATGACGATATTTTTGATCATTATAGATCTGAATTAATGGATTAGATTCTAAGCGAAACGGAAAGTAATGATTACGGTTTGGTGGATAAAATTGTTCATTAGCCTTCCAAGAATGAAGTAGAGGGCTCATTCGAAATTCCGAATTTTAATTTGCAAACGAATGATACTACATGTGATGATCACTATAAGGGT